ATACCATAATGTATAAACTTGTCAAATCACTAAGTTGTACACCTGCAAGTGATGTAACATCATGTGTAAACTATACTCAAACTTAAAAAGGTAAAAACCATTCTTATACTAGCAAGAATTTAAGTAAATATTATCAAAGATTATAATAAACAATGATTCTTCAGTGTTGCTCAAATACCTGAATACCAATTTTTTTCTCTTTTTTTCTTTTAGTTTTTTTGGGGAATTTTTCTAAAGAATATAGCATCACTTTTTGCTTGATAAAAATGTATTATCTTCACATCTAATTGGAAGTATTTAAATGCATAATTTATGAAAATCTTATCATTTTTATTCTATATATAATTTAAATATATAAGTTCATAATAATAAATAAATATGCCTGTCTTGCACCTGAATAATAATTTTTAATTACAGTCTCAAAAGTGTTTTCAAATATTACTTATATAAGTATTAAATTTCCCTGTGAGTTACCCATATGTCTGTGGGTGAACTGAGAGTTTAACTGAGATCAGTGAGAAAGTTAGCATAAGAGGGAAGTGGTCAGAATCAGTTCACAAACTTACTCACTAATATTTATTGAGTGTTTGCTATTGGCAAGATACTGGGCTTATAGCAGTGGATGAAACAGAACCCAGAATTGCAGAGTCTATTGTTTAGTGAGGAAGACAGACATTAAGAAATAATTATACAGAACAATATTCACTTGCAAATGGTGCTGTGTACTATGAAAAAGAAATGAAGGCTATAAGAGAAGTCTTAGTACAGACTTAATTTAGATCAGAACTTGTCAGTAAAGTCTTCTTCGTAGATATGACAAAATAAATTATCGAAAAGAGGTATCACATTTATCCACGGGAAGAGTTGGAGTAGGGACATTCCAGTCTGAGAAAACAATATATAGGAGGATGCTAAGGTAGGAAAGCACTTGGTGGATTTCAGGAAAAGATTAACGTGACTGAAATACAATGAAGGGTGGAGGACAGTGTAAAATGAGACTAGAGAGAGAAGCAAGGGTCATATCATGCAAGGCTTGGAACTATCCTAAGAATTTTGTATTTTATCATAAATGCAAGGAGAAATCAAGGATAGATTTTAAACAGAAAGTTATAGGATCATATTTGTCTTTTAAATATTACTTTGGCTGCTATGTAGAAAATGGATGGATGTAGCAGGAGAGGAAATGGGTAGACAAGTTAGGACCCTGTGCTACAAGCCCATGGAATAAAATGGTAGATGAGGCCAGGTAATGGTGATGACTGAACTGGAGAAAAGTGGATAGATTTAAGATACATACTGGAGATAGCACTGATAGGCTATAATAGCCTGGATTCAGGACAGAATGAGGAAAGAGGTGTCAAGAACAAAAATCTAACTTTTCCTACATAGCCACGAGTTGGCTGATGGCTGATAGTGTCATTTAATGACATGGAGGAACCCTGGAGAAAGAGCATATCTGGTAGAGTTGAGAGGTGGGAATGAAGAGTTCAGTTGTGAGACTCATTAATCCCACTTTGTTCTAAGTATCTGACTTACGTTTTATAATAACATAGCCATATTCCCAGCCTTTTTGGTCCATGTCCTCCACTAGGAAAATCTTGATATGGATTACGGGTTCCTGGAACTAAGATGCTACTTTCAAGAATTAATGAAGAAGGAGAATTAACTTTTTAAACTAACATGTCTAGTATTTTAGACTTTTGGCCCCAGATAACAAAATAATATGTGCTTAATTTCAAATTAAAAGATTTGGAAGAGAATAATCAGTCAAGAATTAAGCATCGTGGCTAAACCCTCTAAAACCTGATCATCTGCCTTCCCAAACACACTACCTACATCTTAGCCCAAACTTTTCTGTGCAAGAACATTTCCAGTGTTCTTTCTGGTACTGAATGCAAATTTGGGGGCCATTTTATGTTGCCTTTATCTAAAGCTCTTTTAAAAGATTTCTTACTAACTAACTCTCAATGATTTATAGGCTGGAGCCATATGGCGCTGGTTGCGACTATTTGGACAGATCAGGAGGGAAGCAGGCACGGGAAGAGAATTTAAGATAGACGTCACAGAATCCTCACATGAGAGAATCCAAAAATCTACAGTGAAAGCAGAAAAGAGGGTCTAATAGCTCTTTTACTGATAAAAAGATGGCCCGGTGGTTTCATAATATCCACATTATAGTTGAGTAGTAGGATCATAGCTTATTTAAAAAAAAAAAAAATGGAGGCAGGGCAGTAATGACAACAATACACAACATACATTAAATGTGTATCATGCACTAAATGCTCTCCCTGTGTAATATTATTTAATTTACCCTGAACCCCTTCAAGATAAGTACTCTATGACTAGCATTTTAGAAAACAGGACATGAGGCTTAGAGGTCATAAATCATTTGCCAGGGGTGCCTGGGTGGCTCAGTCGTTAAGCGTCTGCCTTTGGCTCAGGTCATGATCCCAGGGTCCTGGGATCGAGCCCCGCATCGGGCTCCCTGCTCAGCGGGAAGCCTGCTTCTCCCTCTCCCACTCCCCCTGCTTGTGTTCCCTCTCTCGCTGTCTCTCTCTTGGGTCAAATAAATAAATAAAATCTTTAAAAATAAATAAATAAATAAATCGCTGTGTCTCTCTCTGTCAAATAAATAAAATCGTAAAAATAAAAAAAATAAAAAAATAAATCATTTGCCAAAGGCCACACAGGTAGAAAACGGGAGAGTGAAATGGCCAGATATATCTGACTTCAGAAGTGGAGTTTCCTACCACTGTGACACAGCACCAGCACACAAAAGAGGAGAGGAAGAAGCCTCAGTATTTCCTCAGTGTCAAAAGCTGGAAATAAAAACAAAATTGCGCATACATTGGTCCCCAAATATTTGGGAATATTCCAAAAGAAGGAAAGTGTCCCTGTTGTGCAGGACCATCCTTTTCTTACATGGGCCTCCTGCACACAGAGTCAACCACTTATGGGCATTGAAAACTACCTTGAGTTCAGCATAATTTCTTACAAATCTGGAGATATTTGAATTTAATAATACAGTTCCTATCATTGTGAATTTCATCCTTGCTTCTTAAGAAACTGTTAACCTATAACTTAATTTTTTGTTCTTTAAATTTCAATGATTAAAATTCATTTTCTTTCATCTGGTCCATGATCACTGCACCCCTATTTTTAAACCAATTTAGATGAGCACTTCACTGACCTTTTCTAACACAAAGTATGGATTGGTGAATTATTTTTAGTTGAAAAAATTTGCTTTAGTTTGAGTTTCGAAAAACCAGTAAAAGAAATGCAGTGAGATATTTCAACTCAGTTTTTAGCAAAATTCTAAATGATATAATAGCAATTCTAATATGGCCATTTCTACAAAGATGCAAATACAACGAAGAACACGAAACTTTCTCTGTCACCCTTCAGAAACACAGGCATAGGCCACCCCACTCTAATACCACTCATTCTCTTTCTCACCGCACAAATGCGGCAGCTCCCCTTTTCAGCAATTCCAGTACATCTGACTGAACGCACTCTTAAATGATGAAGAGAATTTACAAGATAAGGGGCAAGGGGCATTCCACTTGAGGGGGACAGCGCATACAGTGTACAGCAAAGACTTGAGGGGAATCATCAGAAATTGGGGGTGGGGAGGATGAATGCTGCTAGGAGATAAGGCTGTGTAGACAGGTTTGGGACCAAATGTTGAGGGTCTTTTATGCTGAGTGAAGGAGTCAGACAGATACTTAAGGAATAACAAACCATTGGCGACCCATTTTCTTTCTTTCACAGGCTTCATGTACTTCCTTCACCTCCTGTTATTATATAAGTTGGGGGAAAAAAGCTAACCATACAAACTAACCAAACAAAGCTAGCTTCTTTTTCCATATCCATTTGGAGCGTATTTCTACAATTCAATATATTTAGTGGCCTGATACTATGGTTCTCTGTATGTGAAATTGTTCTTTGGCACGAAGAAAAGCCATGACTAATTCAAAGGAGGCCTATTTGGGTGGAACTTTTGAAGACTACAAAGCCATTGAAAATACAGACAGAAAAATAAACTATTTTTCAGGAGAAAAAATACACTTCTACTGCTGAAGCCATGGGTATTCTTTTTATAAAAGACGTGTTTCATCTTTTACGCCTATGCAATTTCCCTCTATGCCAAAAGATTCCTCTGTGTATTAAGGGACCAACTCAAATGAAGAAGAACAAGGACAATAAATTTATTTTTGGAATTTTCTGACCTGGTCAGGGCCAACTGAATAGAAGATATGTGGCATGTACATATGTGTTGTATGTGTGATTTTAAAACTATTTTTTTAACTGGACTCATTTTACATACAAAATCTTGACTTCAAACCAACTAAATTTCCAGATTATTTGGCTTTTTCAGTACCTTCTACTTTTACTATAACCAGGACTTCAACTTCGAAGAAAATTGCTCTGTAAGATTTAACACATTTTCTCATTGCAGGTGTGTGCTTCCTCCAAGGCAGGGAATATAGTCTATTACTGGCCCACATGGTGAGGGACCAGCAGAAATGTGGCAAGTTTGGTAGAACCTGGGCAACAGGCAAAATAAAATCCTGTTAGCAGGTCTAGTGAACTTGGAATGTGTTCTATCCCTCTAATAAATGTTGGTCTTATTTTTGTGGGGAGTGCTGAGCGTTGTTTGTTGCAAGTGCTTGTCATTTAATTTATTAAAATTGTGAGAATAGAAGAATGGGTGGCTATGACAAGATGCACTAAATGCAGACTCTTTCAAGTTATTCATTAAAATCATTAGTCCTGTTCCACCCCCTCTTAAACACAAATGTATTAACATCAAGACTGGTGGAATGATTACCAGGCTTCATGACACCAGAGGTCATAATATTTGTCACCTTAATTTTACAATACAATTAAGTAATGATGGATTTAAACAAATTCATTTATAGTACATTTGAGAATCCTGGGGTAAAAATAGGATCAAGATAAATGTTCCCACATTCTAAATAACATTTGCTTGGTCTTAGGAGCACGGCATCCCTACCGACATGGGCTACGCGGTGGCCCCTCACCATTCGGGTGTCTACCCTGTACACGTTCAACTTTATGAGGCCTGGAAGAAGGTTTGGAATATTAGAATCACCAGCACTGAAGAATATCCACATCTGAAACCAGCTAGATATCGGAGGGGCTTCATTCACAAAAACATCATGGTGAGCTTCCTCCGGTATGCATAGGGTACAACTAATTCTTCCAGATTTACATTCTTCATTTGAAGAAAGAACAAAAGAGAAGAGCAAAATGTTGAGCACTTAACTATAGGAAAAGCTTCCTGCTGCAGGAACTATATTTATCATATCTAAGATATCTAAGCAAAGGATGTTTTAATTAAAGTCACTTCTTTACAATTGGAATATAAAATGCTTTTTTTTTTTTTTTTTTACTGACACTACTTCTATTAACCAGGAACTGATGTTAAAATACTAAGGAAATAATATATCTGACTTGCAGATAATTTACAGAAGCCATTATCTCTTCAAAAGTTACTTAGTATGTAAAATGAAAACCAACTCTCTCTATATTAACCATGCTGCTCTTTTACAAGTCAAACTGTTCTTCTCTTTACCATGTCAGACCAAGCAAACAAACAAAAAACTTGACTACTTACAACAAGAAGCTATACATGAAGTCCTGCATAATCACTAACAGATCATAATATAGAGTACGAATGTAACAGATGATGTTAATTAAGTCATTTACATCCATTGTCAAATTCTCTCTAAAGCTTCCCTATTTTGTGTTTTTGTTTTTTTATTTTTTACACTGGTGACACATGCATACTGTCAAGATATGTTATTACCTAATACTTTGTGTGACCTCCCAAAGGAACTAAATCCTACTTTTTTCCCAAACTAGAAAATCCAAAGAGTGCTGATGAAGTTAGGAAGTGGCTTCCTGATTTAGACTCATCCTGGGAAGAAATACCACACAGAACACTGTGTGGTGAGGCACTGGAACTCTCTGTCAGACTACGTTTGACCAGATGCCTACTCTCTAGAATTAGGCATAACTGACTTCTTTTCACAGTTTTCTAATGTCTGCAAAAATTACAGAATGGATAATGACATTTAATTTGGATCAACTTGCATCTTGACTTTTTCCTCAATAAAAACTGTTGTAAATGCTAGATGGGGACACAATGGCTCTATTTCAGCCCAGTCTGCCCTTCTTCTTTACTGAAAATAAACTCGCTATGCCTCAAGCTGCCAGCCTTCTGATCAGAGAGAGTTTAGGAGACCTGGGTTATAATTCAAGAGTATTCAATACTTTCCTGACATTTCTAAATCATATGCTGTCTTAGTAGAATAGTGAGCGTAAGTCTCTAAGGACTTTATTAAATGTTGTCCTCTTTTGTTTCTGTTTCTGGCTGTACTGCCAGAAAATTTGCTTGGCTGTGTCCCATGGGATATGTTCATTTTTTGTTTCTCCTGAAAACATAGTTTACCTGTATTATAAATGCACGAATCTTACAGGTAATAAAGGCTCTCACAGATTTCCTGTTTTGATGGAAGTGTCCCTATGGCCCCAGTTTTGTAGCAATCCATGGAAACCCTCTATATTTGCTTTGTGGGCTCTTGGATGAGAATGTCCAAGTGGGAAGTGCTCAGCAGGCTGTTGATTATGCAGTAAAAGAGAGAGAACATGGCTTGGAGTCATCCAACTAGAGGTGCAAGTTAAGACCACAAGAGCCAATATGCCCTCCTAGGAAGAGACTGAAAAGAAAAAATCACACCCACATTTTGTTTTATGAGATAAGGGAAACTTTTTTTTAAATATTCACAAATCAAATTCCAAAGGCCTTAAATGAAACTCATTACTTCTCTTCAAGCCAGCTATTGTTGATCCTGCTATTCCTAATTCAGTTCTGCAATTCGAACATCATGCTGGCCACTGCCCTCCAACTTCCAGTCTCTACATTCCATCAGTAACTCCTTTACAATACATTTTTATTTCCCTTAGTTTCCCACAGCCTAATTCACTGCCTTGACTTCTTGTGTAAACCGTGCTGCTGGTTCCTACTTTGTTTATAGCTTCCATTTACCCCCCACACTACAGCCTATCCCACAGAAAGAACAGTGCCAACCTTTCATTCTTTTTAAAACACTGCCTTCATTTGGGCCTTCCTAACCTTGATACTTCCAATTATCTCCACACCCCTTAACTTGCTCTTCAGGTATCTGAAAACAGTTTAGATTAAATCTACCTTTCTATCTTCTGTTTTCCTGTAGCTAATACACACTCACTCCAGCCCAAAAGTTCTAAAACAGCATTGCTGTGTCCATGTCTTTCTCATTTTTCTACCTTGAAAGACTTTCTGACCACTCTCTACCTACTCTTCTTCCCTTTATTCCTCAATATCAAGCCCATATCCTATAATTTAATGTAAAGCACCTTGGTGTATAACAGCTGAGCAGCTAACTCAGGCCTACTGTCCTATGAATTCCCATAACAGATCATCTTATAACTCCGCTAAGAATATAAAAGCCTACTATATTTCAAGGTGTTTGTGCCCTAACCAGAGTCTCTGGGTTTCCAGTCCTAGTGCTTTGTCTGCTAGATAAATTCAGTCTTCATTCAGTAAGAAATTAAGGAAAAACCAGGACTCTCTGACCTAACCCCTGGTTGCTAAATGTGACTCTCTGGAGAAAGCCAGAGCCCTCTAAGCAATTAGACTACAGATCCTGATTATCTACTTTCTGTTTCTAATGGAGGTGTCCATTGATAAAGATTCCCATTACTCATGCTGCCAGCCTCCTAGGTGGTCTTTACTGGTGGCTTCTAGAGGCATTTGTTGACAGCGGCTCCAGGTTTAGGTCTTAGGTACAGGATATTGGCTTCAGGTCCCATTGGTCAAGACTTTTGTTGGTTAGGCTTTCTTAACCGTCTCCCAGTTATTGTCAGCAAGGTTTCCATAGTCTCCTCAATGTCTCAAAGTTTGAATTTTATAGTGTTACACTCCCAGAACCAATTCTCCAGGGCAGTCCATAGCAAAGTACCAAAACAAACAAACAAACAAACAAACAAAAAAAACCCTCTCTCATTCCTTCTCTAACACAAGAGAGCTATTTCAAGGAACATGTTCAGTGTCTGTAGCATTGAGCTCAGTGAGCAAGACAATGGAATATGACCCTGTCACATTCTAAGTATCCCCTCAGCCTCCCGTGGCGGCCCGTTGATCATCCTAGGGCTCATGGTAGCTCTTATCCTCTCGGCAGTGCAATCCTTCCCAGAGTTGCAGGGTAAAGCCCTTGCACTTCCTCTTCTCAGTGTTCAAACTCAAACAATTTGAGAAATAGACAAAACTCAAATTTCTTTTCTCTCTCCATTTTGCATAGGATCAGCAAGGCAATTAAGTCCCAAAGACAACTCTTTATGTTTCCATAGTTTTTCAAGCAAGATATTCAAACTGAATCCCAAAAGTGATTCAGAATTATGCACTTTTAAAATGTAAAACTAACCTAGCATTTGATCACGTGGGCATTTCATTATTTAGCTTTGGGGCATTTCTCTTTATTCTGATATACCTTAAATTCTTCAAGAGTAGAAAGAATATATCTTTGTGTTCTCCCACATAGACTTATGTATTTGTTTAAAAAAAATGAGTAAATGCTGTATAAAGCTTTGATTTCCAGGAAAGTGAAATTTTCATGAATTGTTAGGGAATATGTTTAATTCAGTTAGAATATCTTTGCACTGGGTTCTTGTTTGCCATTGATTTTGCAGAATGTGTAGTACTTTTAAACATAAACATCACCAGAGCTAATACTTGGCAATAAATTGAAGTTCTTTTAACTATTTCACCAAGATAGAATAGCTCCCAAGGATATTTGACCAATTTACAAAAATAAATAGGATATATAAAGTTTCAATTTACACAGCAATGTATGATATACTGATTGAGCTAAGAATTGTGCTTTTTGTAAGAAACTTTCAAGGACTAGATTGAAATTTATTATGATACAAAAACTAAAGAAAAAGAACTAGTATATTTGTAGAAGGTTGCAAAGCATGAAAAGTCCTACACAGGTAATATTTTGAAAGCACTTACTGAGCCAAATGTGCTTTAAGAATAAAGACAGAAAAAATGAAGATCAATTTACTGAGGACAATAAGCAGAAGTCTTGTATATTTAAGATTCTGTAAGCTTGTAACTCTCCAAAGTATATTCATTAATTGTCTACTACTTTAAGTATACAGTGAGAAACACAGGTCATTATGAAGTCATATAAGATTTAGCTAAAGATTGTACCATCCTGCACAGCACTAATTCACACTTTCTTTTATAACTGCACTGTTATTTTACCAGAAAAGCTGTAAGAATCTGAAAAACATACCCTTATCATGAATGTGTATAAGTGAAACAAATAATGGCTTTCATACACAAAGGATGAAAATAAGTTTTTTTCCTAAATGATGTTTTATCATTTTGTTTATGACAGTTTATAAAAATTAATAATCAAAAGCCATAATCTCTTTTTAACTTTTGGAACTGGCAGGCTTCAGACTTAAAATTTGGGGCAGTAGTCCTTCCATACTGGAGAAGACACTATGGTTTTTGTCTCAAATATTTGTTCGAATTTAAAATCTCATTCCTTTTTTTAAAATTTAAATTCAATTAGCCAATTTATTTTTTTTAATATTTTATTTATTCATTTGAGAGAGAGAGAGACAGAGTGAGGACAAGCAGGGGAGAGGTAGAGGGAGAGGGAGAAGCAGACTCCCCAGGACCCTGGGACCATGACCCAAGCCAAAGGCAGACGCTTAACCATCTGAGCCACCCACGTGCCCCTCAATTAGCCAATTTATAGTACATCATTAGTCTCAGATGTAGAGATAATTTATCAGTTGCATATAACACCCAGTGCTCATCACATCCCGTGCCCTTCTTAATGCCCATCACCTAGTTACCCCATCCCGCCATCCCCCCATCCACCTCCCCTCCAGCAACCCTCAGTTTGTTTCCTGTAGTTAAGAGTCTCTCGTGGTTTCTCTCCCTCTCAGATGACTTCCCATTCTGTTTTCCCTCCCTTCCCCCACAGTCCTCTCTTTCTTATATTCCACATATGAGTGAAACCATATGATAATTGTCTTTCTCTGATTGACTTATTTCACTCAGCATAATACCGTCATTTCTTAAGAATCACATTAAGTTAATAATTGACTTCATTTTCTAGTGCATGTGTAGAATTTGGCAGAAAGTATTATCCTTAAAATTTTTGCCTACTAGATTACAGGGTAGACAATTCCAATATTTTTAAAGTCTCATTTTCACTTTTTTTTATTTCTTAAGATGCTGGAACATACTAAGCTTCATAGCAGCAGTACTGATTTGGAGATTTAAAATAGATAAGTGGCTAAAATAATTCAAAGTCTATCTTAGTTTTAAAATATTTCTTCAACTTTCTTCAGTATTCTTTCTTTACTGATGTCATTCTTGCTTTTCCAGAGTGTGAAGGATTTTCTGGGTCTTAGTTAAGAGTTGAAAAATGATACCAGCTTATGCATCAGCTTCCATGAGAAAAAAAACCCCAAGTTTCAACAAATTAATGGTTGAAAGAACCTTTTCCTTACTTGTTTATTCTTCCTTCAGGTTCTTCCAAGACAAACCTGTGGGCTTTTCACTCACACAATTTTCTACAAAGAATATCCAGGAGGTCCTAAAGAGCTGGACAAGAGTATCCAAGGAGGTGAACTTTTCTTCACTGTGGTTCTCAATCCAGTAAGTACTTTGAGTTATTCTCCAAAAGAAAAAAATGATGAAAAATGACAGGGTGGCTGAAAATTACCCTGACAAAAAGGCCAGAGTTTGGGTAGTGTCAGCCAATTCAATATGAAGTTTTAGCTCCAAAACAGAAAAAAATTCAATGGAACCACATCTGGAGATGAGGGCAAACTCATTCTACAAGGAGCAGTGACATGAGGAACTCATGGAAAGCCAAGAAAGTGCTCCAGAACCTCCTTTGCATTGAAAAGTATTCAGAATTCAGAGATTTCTTGTTTTTATGGAGAACAAGATCTTTTTGAAGTTTTTATTTGAATTCCAGTTAACATAGAGCATACTGTTAGTTTCAGATGTACAATATAGTGATTCAGCACTTCCACTCAACACCTGATGCTCATCAACGATGCCCACCTCCCCTCCGGTAACCATCAGTTTGTTCTCTATAGTTAAGAGTCTGTTTCTTGGTTTGCCTCTCTCTCTTTTTTTTCCTTCGTTCATCTGTTTTGTTTCTTAAATTCCACATATGAGTGAAATCATATGGTATTTGTCTTTCTCTGACTGACTTATTTCACTTAGCATAATACTCTTTATCTCCATCTCCATCATTGCAAATGGCAAGACTTCATTCTTTTTATGGCTGAGTAGTATTGCATTATATATATCTACCACCTCTTCCTTTTTTTTAAATTTTATTATGTTATGTTAATCACCATACATTACATCATTAGTTTTGGATGTAGTGTTCCATGACTCATTGTTTGCATATACCACCCAGTGCTCCATTCAATACGTGCCCTCTTTAATACCCACCACCAAGCTAACCCATCCCCACACCCCCTCCCCTCTAGAACCCTCAGTCTGTTTCTCAGAGTCCATTGTCTCTCATGGTTCGATCTCCCCCTCCAATTCCCCCCCCTTCATTTTTCCCTTCCTACTATCTTCTTTTTTTTTTTTTTTAACATATAATGTTATTATTTGTTTCAGAGGTACAGGTCTGTGATTCAACACCATAGCACATACCCTCCCCAATGTCTATCACCCAGCCACCCCATCCCTTCCACCCCCCCCCCACTCCAGCAACCCTCAGTTTGTTTCCTGAGATTAATTCCTCATATCAGTGAAAATATATGATACACGTCTTTCTCTGACTGACTTATTTTGCTCAGCATAATACCCTCCAGTTCCATCCATGTCGTTGCAAATGGCAAGATTTCATTCCTTTTGATGGCTGCATAATATTCCATTGTGTATATATACCATATCTTCTTTATCCATTCATCTGTCGATGGACATCTTAGCTCTTTCCATAGTTTGGCTATTGTCTACCACCTCTTCTTTATCCATTCATCAGTCGATGGACATTTGGGCTCTTTCCATAATTTGGCTATTGTAGATAATGCTGCCATAAACATTGTGGTGCATGTATCCCTTTGAATTAGTATTTTTATATTCTTTGGGCAAATACCCAGTAGTATAATTGCTGGATCATAGGGTAGTTCTATTTTTAATTTTTTAAGGAATCTCCATACTGCTTTCCAGAGTGGCTGTACCAGTTTGCATCCCATCAACAGTGCAAGTGGGTTCTCCATTCTCCACATCCTCACCAACACCTGTTGTTTCTTGTTTTGTTGATTGTAGCCATTCTAACAGGTGTGAGGTGATAGCTCATGTAGTTTTGTTTTATATTTTCCCTGATAAGTGATGATGAGCATCTCTTCATGTGTCTGTTAGCCATCTTTATGTCTTCTTTATATAAAGAATTTATAAAATTCAACACCCAAAAAATGAATAATCCAATTAAAAATGGGCAGAAGACACGAATAGACATTTTTCCATAGAACAAGATTTTTCACCTGTAAAACTCTCCTATTCCCACTGTGGACCAGTTTTCTCATTTAGATGACCACTAACACTATTATTCTTTTTTTTCCCCCTTCCTATTTAAAGTAAAGGTATAAGCAAAATGGAAGAGGAATTAGATAAGCAAATATTGTCATTTTGGATACATTTATGTGAGATCTTGTCTTGCTAGGTTTCAGGCTGGGCAGATCAGCCTGTTTAATTGGCTTCTGCTCTTCTTCCATCACTTCTTAATACTTCTGTGCCAGCTCCACAATGAACCTCTTGTGCAGATGTCTGCCTGAGGCGAGTATTATAAAGTTGTGTAGACAAAGACGAACTAATTGAAGTAAGGTATATAAGGAAAAGAAGGGATTTTTATTTCCCTTCTGAGTATCACTAACATAAAAAATAAAATTAGGTTTATTTATCAGATGTATGGGTTTGCCCCTGGCATTAGCAATATTCAAGATGAAAAAGTTGTAATTTTCCAAATATGAAAAAAAGTCTATTAGCATGAAAGTTGAAGAAGATAGAAATAAAGAGAATAAATTTGAAAAGCCCCACTCTGGATCCTAATTTTACAGGTCTTACAAATAAAATTACAGGTATTTTTCATCTTCTTGTATTTAACGACTATATTTATTTCTCAACTTCTACAAAATGATATTAGAAGTTAGGGTAACTCATCTTTGGGAAAAATCAGCATGTGTATCCAAAAATTGAGATGATTTCAGGTAGTATGCCATTTTGCCTTTTGGAAGTTTATCAGTCTTCATACCCCAAAAATATAAATAATTCTGATTTATACATCAGAAATAATCTGATTTTTCTAACATACCTATTCTTTACAAATGGAAGCATCTTTGGAATCATCTCTTATGGCTTTCTTCTTCTCTCTCTCTCTTTTGTCAATTCAGCCAGTAATACACAGGTAAAAGAGTTAAACCAATACTTGATTATGAACTAAAGACTAAGTTAAAATATTCTTAATATGTTAACATTTTCACCAATAATTTTAAGACCCTTTAGTCTGCAAAGTATAAAATTCTTATGTTTTATATTTCCTTTCATCGTAGAGCAATAGGACTATGAACAGATAATCATCTATTTGATTCTTTTTTTTCTTAGAGAGAGAGTGTGTGTGGGCCGGGGCCAGGGGGCTGGGGGGCAAAGGGAGAGAGGGAGAGAATCTTAAGCAGACTCCACGCCCAGCACAGAGCCCAACTCGAGGCTTGACCTCACAACCCTGACATCATGACCTGAGCCAAAATCAAGAGTCGGCCACTTAACTGACTGAGCCACCGAGGTGCCCCCTATTTGATTCTTTTAACCAGTAGTTGCTTTGGTGCTTAAGAAATTCCTAGTGGTATTATAATTTCAGAACTTCCTAGATATTAGTTTCATTTAACATGGAAGAAATTCAATATTAGATCATTCATATGCAATAGATTTGTAAGAAATGTTTTTCACTATTTCAAAACCAAATTATTTTCTTTTTTAATAATTATTCTATTTTATTTGACAGAGTGTGCATGCACACAAGCAGGGGGGAGGGGCAGAGGGAGAGGGAGAAGCAGACTCCCCGCTGAGAAGGGAGCCCAATGAGGGGCTCGATCCCAGGACCCTGGGATCATGACCTGAGCCGAAGGCAGATGCTTAACCAACTAAGCCACCCAGGCACCCCCCCCAGATTATTTTCTTAATTAAATAAAAATCTTGTAGTAAAGCTTTTTTGAGTCATGGATACGAATTTGAGCTAAATTAGCTGAGCAAATGCTTTAAATGTTTAGCAAATCTTGCTACTTTTCAGGCCTTTACAGATAATATTTGGCAATTTTGTTTGTCTTGATGAGAAGATCCACAGGGAATAAAGGGGAGAAAAAAACTTTTCCAGAAAACTTGTGCTTTCCTGATTCAGAAAACTTTCAGTAGACAATTACTTTCAGATAAATGCTGAAATTCAAAATTGACAGATCCTTGTCAGATATCATAAGATAGGGAAGGAATCCAAAGTAATTTTATCTGCCATGCCAACTCCAATTTTTGGAAGCAACTGTAGTCTCCTGGAGATTTCTGGTTGAGAAATCCACTTCTAAGACTCAGCCCAAGTCTCACCCAAGGGAAAACTGCTATCATTAGTTAGTGATGCTGCCTTGGGAGAAGAGTGAGGAGGAGTGACCTGTTTCCCATGAATTCTCCATCCCAAAATTACATGTTTGGGTAAAGCTTGTGTTAAAATTAAGAGAGGTCCAGGTGCAGTGAGGCATGCTACTAATTTGGCAGATGGCTCTCTTTTTTAGGTCAGAATGAGAATGAGAAAAACCTTGATGGAATCAAAGTAGATATTAGCTGCAGGAAAGATATGAAATTTAATTATAGTGAATTTGAATGATAGCCATTATAAGCTTAAGTAATACCCCAGTCCTTGATTAGAAGTTCCATTTTCTGAGAATGCTGAATGAGTTTTCCAACATACAAAAAGGTATATGTGTATTGGAAACATACCTATATCTCTTAAATATATTCAAATACACTTGAGTTGAAAATGCAAATATAAACAGGACTTCAAGTAATGTATTTTAAAAGTTTCCTGCCCATATGTCAACATAATATTAAGGTGCTACAGTAAGTTTTACCAGTATCAGGGTGAGAGGTAGCTGCAACAGAGTACCTCTCAGAGTTCAATTAGAATAGATGACAGCAAAGATGACTAGAATAACGCTCTAGTTTGAAATGTTCTACTGTTACCAAAGTATTTTTTATTACTAAAGAAAAAAGTGCCAACCAAATAAATTTAATGCAGATAAAAATATATTAGCACTGTCTAAAAGAGAGAAAACCTCAGCCTTCTCCATATGATATTTCCAATATCACAGGCCTAGACCCCTCTGATGTGGGTTGGATACAGAGATTTTGGTTAATATATTGACTTTGAAGTTTAGGTACAGTTGGGAGGTGGGCCCACCAGGCTATCTGATCCTAGGACCACGAAGAAATTAAGAATTCTTTTCTTTTTTGTGTGCGTCTGTTTCTAAACTCACCCCGTGACTTCTTGATTATAGTTCACTTTCCTATAGGAAAAGAATATGTTGATCATAAGAACTTATACTCACTAGAACAGTAATTTGCAGTGCAATTTTATAGATCTTTCAATT